CTCCGGAACTTCCCAAACAGGACTAAAGCCAGCAACCAAACGGATGAATGGATGAGTTGGGCTGCCAGCACATACATTTAAGCGATACAGGACTAAAGCCAGCAACCAAATGGATGAATGGATGGGTTGGGCTGCCAGCACATACATTTAAGCGATGGGGGGGGGGAACCACCCAGACGAGCAGAGGCATTTTTCTCGTGGTTTACAGTGTGTTATTAGCTTTCCATCTTTCAAACAAATGGACTGTGCATTCACAAAATCGGGCACATTTGCTCTCAAATCATTCCATGGAAGAAAAGTCTAACCAAAAAATAAAAAATCAGTAGACTTACTTTTGAGAAAACAGCCTTCTAGAACTTGAGTGATGTGGGGTCTTGCATCTAACAAGCAGCTTTGGATTAGGAACATTGTGCTCATCATTTGTTTGTGGGAACACCAGACCTTCTAGTTGACTACTATGCAAGTTAACTGGGTAGACTTCACGTGTTTTTGGTACGACCTAGCTTCAGGAACCTAATGAGAAGATGAAACTCAGTGGAAAACGGCCAAAGAACCCGAAAAAACCCACAACAACCATCAGACTTTGATGTTGTTGCATGCCATCAAATCCCCACTGACCCCTGGTGACCCTATGAATGAGTGACTGTCCACGTTTCCTATCATTTACAGGCCTGCTCAGCTTTTGCAAACTCACGATATGCCCAAAATACATCATGACAGGAGCTTTTGGAAGTCATTAATTAATTAGGTTAGAATCACTCTGACTGCACATAACAAATGATCCAGCTGGACTTTCTTTTGTTCTTAAATTAATGAAGGCATCTGCCTGCAGAGCCAGAGGCTGGGACAGTTCAATTTCTCACCGTGCCTCCCAGAAGAAGAGGCAGCCGGTATAGTTTTGGGCAAACTGCAGTCCCAGAGTGTCACTCTGAAAGAGGGTTGCTGTAAGTCAGAATCAACTTGAAAGCAAGTCATTATTATTTATTAATGGCTAGCAGCCATGGTGGCTACATTCCTCCAATTACATTCCTGGGAATTATGCCACTGGATTATCAGCTGCTAGAGATGGCTATTTTCAGAAGGTCCAGTGGTTCTTGGGTCTTGTTGCTATTTATTCTGTGGGCTTCTTTTAAGCACCCGGTTAAGCACTGTGTGAACTGGCTGCTAGGCTAGATACCGCTTTGGTTCATGTGCACATAAGAAATTGCCTTATCTTAAGACAGGCCATTGATACACCTAACTCAGTATCATTTTCTTGCCAAGATTGTGGACAGGAGTAACGTCTAGCTCCAATTAGAGATGGCAGAAATGGGAACTCACTCATACGCCTTTCATTATAAAAAAGCCCAATGTAGTTGACATCATTACCTGCAAGAGAAACCAGGGACTGTTGTCTGTGCCACAGCCAAGAATTTTTGCTTCTTGAGACATAGGGCAAGTTGGTGCCCTCTTTCATTCCAAGCTGATTGGACATGTCTGCAATGGAATAAGGTCTTCTCTCAAACCTGCGAGCAGCATGCCAGTTTAGGGAATGCAGGGCAGGCAGTGTGGCACACAGCTCTGTTCTCGAAGCAAGGGGAATAGCAGGGAGCTGCAGCAAAAGAGCTGGGATTGAGTGACCACAAGCCATTGCTGCATCCTGAGATGGTGGCCATAGTCTGTCCAACGGTAGAGCCAAGCCTGCCCATGCCACCTTTGGGCACTCTGTCGCCCTTAGCCACTCTCATGCACTTGCAGTAACCCTCTGCTGAGTTTTACCAGCTCTCATTGTTCTACAAACATGCAAGTCAAGGCTCGGTCTGCTGCTTCCCTTGAGAGCTGCTTCAAACTATTCCAGCAGCTCTTCCACCTGACTTGAGAGCCGGCCATAGAAAATTAGGGTGCATGAAGTGACAAGAGAAGAATGCCAAGAGGTCTGTCGAAGGGGAAGGAAGATTACAAGGCTCTGAGGGTTAACCGCAACACAAGCCTGTTCTAGCCTGGTGAAGCACAACAGGAGAGTACATGGATTAGGGGTGAAAACGGTAAGAAAGAGAGGAGGATTACAGTGCATTACATTAATTGAAATGGGAGCTTAGTGCTGTGCTTGCTCAAAAAGCTATTACACAGCACGGACGATGAAGCCAGTGAATTCATCAAAGAATGGAATGAAACTTGTCTTCTGAAAACTGCAGAAAGAGTCAGCACCGCTTGGATCAGTCATTTTCTTCAACACATTTCCTACCATGTGCATTTTTTTTTTACAAAAAAAATCCTTTCTGGGAACAAAACTGCAATCCTGCCTTAAAAAGGCTGCAGCTCCTATAATCATGATACTGTTCCTGAAAGATGTTCTATACGCCAAAATGCAACAAATCTGTGCAAATGCCAGAAGGGATGCTCAGTGTGCAGTAGACCTTCAGGTTGTGCTTTTTCTTAAGTAATACAGTCGTGCCCCGCTTAACAATTACCCCGTATAACGATGAATCCGCTTCACGATGATGTTTTTGCAATTGCAATTGCAATCGCAAAACAATGTTTTAAGCGTTTTTTTTCGCTTTGCGAAGATCGGTTCCCTGCTTCAGGAACCAATTCTTCGCATTATGACAATCAAAACAGCTGATTGTCAGGTTTTCGAAATGGCCGCCGGGTCTCAAAATGGCTCCCCGCTGTGTTTTTGGATGGATTCCTCGCTCTACAGGCACCGAAAATGGCTGCCCTTATGGACGATCTTCATTGGACAGTGAGTTTTTCAGCCCATTGGAACGCATTGAACGGTTTTCAATGCGTTTCAATGGGCTTTTTTATTTCGCTTTACGATGTTTTTGCTCTACAGCGATTTCGCTGGAACGAATTAACATCGTTTAAGCAAGGCACCACTGTAATATGATACAAAGATTGCTCAGGATCTTTTAGGACAAAGACCTTCCTCTCCAAATTCTTCTATCTAAAACAAGGCAAATATTCTAGATCTTTATCTTCTAGGAGGGAGTTATGTTTTTTATTCCCTCAGCCTTCAGGTGCACTGACTAACTGCCAAGTTGTCATTAAGGATAATGATAGTTCTAATCCAACACATCTCTAGGGGACCATACTGGAGAAGGTTAGGATTTCGACTTCCAGAATCCCTGATTGTGCTGGATGGGACTTGTGGGAGCTGGAGGTCGAAAACAGGTGGACAGACAAAGGCTGCGAATCAGTATTCCAAGCTATCTGTTGCCCTCTTATTTCCAAATTGCTGTGAAAAAAATATTGAAATCAGTGATATTTTCACAAAGCTTAAATAATATATAGTAATTTTCTTCTGTTCAGCTACACGGGACTTTACAATTTTGTTAGAATGCCAACGTCTGGTCCTAAAGTCTTTGTGGGAAGGACAGTAATTTAATTCTTTAAAAGAATGTAAAAAGCATCATCGAAACAAGTTTATATTGACACTTAATTGTTATACTTTTGTATCCTGACAAGTTTTTTTTAATATTTAAAGCACTTAAATATATACATAACCACTAAAATCATCACTTCTCCTCATTAAGATGTAACGTGGGACCTCAGGAACAGGTGATGATTAAATGATACAATTACAGTTACTACTGAGTTGTATATTTACTGAAATTTTGAAGTCCACCCACTAAACCCCAGTGCTGCCACCATAAAGTGTTCATTCAAGTATTTATCAGGCCAAGTGCAGGTATCTTTAACCAGCATACAAAAATACAGTTTTAATTCAGAATGTCTTGGTCCTAACTTTAAAACTCAAAAGCTTCCTCTACAGCTCTTTTCTCTATAGATATCCTACAATTTATGCTGTCTTCAGATCACTTGGAAAACTCTTCTACAGCCGAGCTGGTACAAGACAGAGGGGGCTGCAATAAAATGTGTCTGTGTACAATATTCATAGTATGGATGAGAATCTTTCACTTTCTCCTGCATTCAAATTATCTAAACCAAGTTCTTTTCATCGCTGAGATCAAGCCCTTTCAAAAACAGATCAAATCAAAATTCTCCTCAACCTTCACCAGCCAAAGTCATTGAGTATCTCTGTCTCTCAAATGTAGGATCATGTTATACCTATGTGCTACAGAGACATTAGAATAAGAAGCATCTCAGGAAAAAAATTAAAACAGGGGAAAGAAACCTAATTCAGAATTCATGTGGTTGGCTATGCATAAGTTTAAACCCAGATTTTAATGATTTAAGTCCTTAAAACCCTCTGCTTAGAGGGAAGAATTCGCCAGTTTCAAGTTTACCTCATGTTTGGATTTATTTAAATCCCAAGTTTATTCTACCCCAAAGATAAATGTCCATGTTTTGGAAAATGTTTATGAAAGACAAACTGAAACAAAGTTTCCAACCATGCTTATTTCACAGTAGGTGCTAGCCAGCCACAGCTTTTTCCAGGAAACTCCTTCATCAAAAAGTAGTAAGAGGCCCAAACCATCAGCCTAGAAAACTAAAGGCTGGGAAAATAAATCTAATAAAGAACCTCCCAATGTTGTTTTTAAATTAGTTAGATCTAATCTTATATCTAGAGAGCAGACCTAGTGGGACTTTCATTCCCAATTAACTTGTTCAAATAATTTCAACAGCTCTACTTGAAGCATGACTAAGACTGGATTCAACTCATAACCTCTAAACTGCTCAAATAGTTTTAAAATTAAAGGCTGATCCCCTCTCACCCCTAAAGCTTTCACAGTACCTGTCCAAATTTAAGAAAGTTTTAGTTTGTCTGAGGTATGGTCATTCACCTCATACATGACTGCCTTACGTTGGCAGGCCAAGTAAGTAGGTAATTTCTTTGGGTTGAGAGATGATAGTGGAGGAAGCCAGAGAAAACAAACTAGATGTCGTTGTTTAGTCGTTAAGTCGTGTCCAACTCTTGGTGGCAATTGTGAGGACCAATGATGGGGATGGGCTTTTTCTCCTTCCTCCCTCCGTTTTATGGTATTGGCAACATTCTGGTTTATCACACTACATTCCTTTATATAACCTGTCTGCCATGGTAATTTGAATAAAGAGCCTTAAGTGTGAAGGATTTATTGTAAATCATTTTCATAACATTTACAGAAATTGCATGTAAAATAAATTCTTGTTGAGGATACTTCTGGAAAATTAAGTTGGCCTGTTAAAACAACAAAACCATACACCAGATGCAGGATCACATTAAAAACATATGAATGACTTCTGGGGAAAGAATTGTTATTTCTTGACAGATTCTGGGATTTTTTTTTCCTGGATGAAAGACCAATGCTGTATTTAGTTTATGAGTGAGATTTAAAAAGAAAAAGGAATCAGTACTACTTGATGTATTTTTCCATGAACTTTTTGTGAAATTCGGACCGCAGCGTGTCGTTGACAAATCTTTTGTCTTTTTTCATCTCGTCAACCCCCTTCGCACAGTTCTTGAAGACTACGTCATCATCCCATCTAGAAACCAGGTTTGAGGATAGAAGGGAAGAAAAGCAAAAGTTTAGAAAAAAAAATCTTCTACTAATCATAAAGAAATATATAATGCTAGCAAGACAAGAGGTGAGGCCATGTTATGTTAGATACATTTTTACTTTGCCTCGTGCAAAACGGTGTCAGTTCTATGGGAGGGTCTCATGTTTCGCATGCAGAAAGTTCCCCGTTCAGTCCTTGGCATCTCCACCTCAACCAGTGAATCCCAGGACACCCCTGATAACTGAGACCCTGAAGAGAACCTGAGTCTCGGCTGACTGGCAAAAGCTGAGCCAATCCTACGAAACCTGACACGTGAATTCAAAGAGTTTTCAGTAGGGAAGCCAGAGGTCAAAGCTCTTGAAGTCAAAAGAGAATCTGGGGCCCCTCAGTGACTCCATGTGCCATACAAGCAAGCCTGGATGCCATCTCATACATGTTTACACAGAAGTAAATCTTGCTAAATTCGAGGAAACCGTCGTTGGGGGAAAGGCAGCCAGTGTTTCCAGATGATGGTAACTGGGGCCTCATGAGGGACTGGCCTTTCAAATAACTTCCCACTGGCTGAGAAATCCTTGGAGGAATTTTTGGCAGTAACAGGATACTGCCAAGAGAGAAAAGCTCTGCATTCTGTGACAAGAGGTCCTGTGACCTAGAGAATGTCTTCAGGAACTCAGCTAAGGGCTTAACATGGAAAAAAAACAAGCCAGCCAGGACACAATCCAGGAAGGGGATACAACACTACCAGACAAGTCAAAACATTGTACAGTATTTCCCCAGCAAGCCAGCTGTTCTTACAAACACCTTTATGTTTTCTTTGAAACCTCAAGTACAAATGGACAGAATGCTTAGGCAAAGAGACTCAAATGAGATGTTAGGGGCAATACAATGGACAATTTTCCCCTTCTGACAGTCAGATTTTCTAAGAGGTATATGCTTCAGGCATCACTTTGCAAATTATGCCCATGTTTGCCTTTTAAGGACCAATAATAAAATAATGTATGCAATATATGCATTATAATCTAACCCAGGGGGGCACTGTCCATCCTACAGATGGGTATAACTTGCAGAACAGGATTAAGGGTCACCCTTTGCCAATTCAATTAAAATCCAATTAAACAGCTCTGGAATTGTAAACCCTTAAGAAGCAGGAAAAAGTGGGAGGGAGCTGTAAAGATCTCTCAGTAAGTATTTGCATACCTCCTCTTCACTTTGAAGCTTGCTTGAGTCTGCACAGGACCAGTAAGATTCAGCAAAGGATTACCGCTCAGGATATTTTCCATCCGTATCCTCTCTTCTTCAGCTTTCTGCTCTTGTTCCTGTCAAGAGAACAACGGGTGGATCTTCAGGATGACATAAAAGCCTGCCATTTCCTTTTCAGCATGTTTAAAGCAGCAGATTTTGCTGCACACCAGGTTGACCTGCACATGGCCACAAAAATATCCTTTACAACCTTTCCCTGGCATTCAGATTGCTTTCTTTTAACATTTGCAATGCATTTTAAAATGCTGCTGTCATGACTTCTGGAAATAAGTGCAGTATCAGACTGCAACCAGCAGCTGCGTTGAACTTTTGGCTTCATGCATCCTCAGCTGGAAACAGTGAGTCCACATAGGACTGCATTTCACTGTTCTTTGACTTCCAGGTCACAGCCTGAATCCAACTGCTAATTTTAACAAGAGTAGACCCATTGAATCAATGGGATCTATACAAGTGCTGACTTACCATTCAGCAATTGACTCAATGTGCTATTCTAGTTGGGACTAGCAGTTTGAGGTGGGTCTGAGGGTAGCCCTATTTAACCTCTCTCCTTTATATGTGTACCAAGATGCTTATGACACTTGGGAGATTCAAGTTGCTTATAGCACCTGGTAAACACATGAAAGCAAGCATTTGTGAGCTGCTGTGAAATCTCAGCTGAAAGATAAGGTAGAGCATTTTAAATGGATTTTAAATAGTAGTAGACAGACAAACTATATTTAACCTCCTTTGCCATGTGCAAAACAGACAAACTACCCACTGAACCCTAATGCCACTGTTGATAAGACAAGCACTTAATTTTATTTATTTAGTACTACCCCACCTTTCTCCTAAAAGGATCCAAGGCAGTTTGCAGTATTTTAAAAAAAGTATAGTATAAAAGCTAACAATAGTAAAGTACTGTATTACACTATTTAAAAAGAATTAAATATCATTTAAAAACTCAACAGATAAAAGCAAACACTGGACAAACAACAAAAATAAAACAATATCTTAAAAAAACTAGCAAATCAGTCACTAAAGGGGAGCCTGCCTGAAGAGAAGAATCTTTGCCTGCCTATGGAAGGGTAGCACAGGTGGGGCCAGCCTTGTAGGAGGGAGTTCCAAAGTCTGGGGGCAGCAACAGAGAAGGCCCTCTCCTGGGTCCCTACCAAAGACAAGTGTGAGGCTTTTGTGGCAAATTAACTGTACTGTAATGAGAAAGACTCTCATTCACACTTGAGGAGACTCTCATAAACACCAGAGTTTTCTACCTCCAACAGCTTCTAGTGGCCTCTAGTGGCACCAAATGGTCACTTCCGGAAGCTGTTTTCCTTACGGTTTGCATAAAGTGATACCATTCTGCTTTAAGTTGATATGCAGTCAGTTCCTTTGGTTCATGAAGGGGTCACTGTCTGTAAATCTCAGGCAGTAGTTTCACTTTTTAAATAGTTTCAGCATAGCACAAAAGCAGGACCAGAAGAAGAGCACATACTTAGCCAGGTAGGCAGTTCAAGGGCCAAGTTTAAAACCACGTCCACTTAACGCAGACCTGGGCAAAGTGTGGCCTGAGGGCCACATACGGCCCGCGGGCTGCTCTTGTCTGGCCCGTGGACAGTTTTGAACATCAAAACCATTTATAGCTTTTTGTCTAAAGTTGATCAGTTGCTTATCTTTAACATACCGCAAAAAATACCTCTTTAGTATTTGTATTAGTATTTAGTATTTAGATTAACAAGTTTAAAATAAAAACTATCATAACATCACTGTTTCATTTTATTTTTAAGTAAAGTTGGTTCAGCCCGTGAACACGGTTCCGTGGCTCCCCTCTAGAAATTAATTGCCCACCCCTGGCTTAACGCAAGGGTGAGCAAAATGTTGCCTACAGCCCAAATATGCCACCCCCAACACCCTGTTCCCAGAACTGCAATTAGGAAAATAGAGTTTTTAAAAAATGTAGCTCAAAAAGTCCATGTGCTCGCTAGAGGCTACAGGAAGCAACCCAAACCCACTCCCCAAAAGTTTTTAATTATATTTTAAATGGTCCACTAGGAGGAATAAGAAGGCTTTTCAGTAAGGGGAAAGAACAATTCTTTTGAAAAAGAAGACACTTGAGAGGAGTGGGACACTGAGCATGTGCAGCCCTCTCAGAGGTGGGAGTGAACGGTGTCTGACCCCTGAATCTCTGGAAGTTTTACCTGTTGTGAGCCGCCTTGGATCCCTAAGGGAGAAAGGCGGCTCACAACAAGTAAAACTATAAAACAAATACCGCTTTAAAATACTATATAATAAAAAAGACTATTGAACTTAAGATTAAAAACAACTTTAAAACATTTAAAACTATGAATTAAAAACCAGCATTCCTGAGACAACGGGCTTGCCTGAAGGGGAAGGTCTTTGCCTGATGAGGGAAGGGCAAGAGGGAGAGGGGCCAACCTCGGTTCTCGGGGCAATGCATTCCAAAGCCTGGGAGCAGCCACTGAGAAGGCCCTCTCTCGTGTGTCTTCCCCAAATGAGCCAGGGAAGGTGGTGGAACCAACAGAAAGGCCTGCCCAGAAGATCTTAAAAGCTGTGAAGGTTCATATGGGGTGACACGATCTTTCACTTTCAGCTGCAAACAGGCTTTTCCCCTGGGTAAGTTGCCTTTCAACACACCTAGCTCAAACAATCCAATGGCTGGAATCCTCACCTTTGCCTTTAAACCTAGGTAAACCACAGTCAGTTGGAGTCTAGTGCTTTGGATGAAGGGGAACACCCATGTCCTATTCTGTCACAGCACCAAGATTGCAAACATCATTTTCACTAGTTACCAATCCCCAAGAATGGCAGGAGTTAAAATATATCATTGTTCACTCACATACCAAGGAGATAGCCAGAGCTCAAGTGATAGAGCGCGTTATTTGCAAACAGGTCCCTGGCACTTCCAATTAAAATTACTTGTTTTTGAAAGTAGAGCTGAAAAAGTACTCTAGCTTCTACCCACCAAGAATCATTGACACTCAAAAGTGCCAGTGCCTGGTTAAGGCAACTACCCTATGTACCAGGGATAAGTAACGCTGAGCTCCAGCCAACATGACCAAAGTTCAGAGGCATAGTCCAAAACACCTGGAGGATACCAGATTGTGTATCCCTGCTGTAGACACTTCACTGGAAGTCTTACTGAATATTAGGGGATTGTTTCTGAATGTACATACATAGAATTATACCACAAAGGAACAGTTAATGTAATCTCAAAGGCTTTCATGGTCAGGTTTCGATGGCTGTTGTAGGCTTTTCAGGCTGTTTGGCCGTGTTCTGGAGGTTTTTCTTTCTAACGTTTCACCAGTCTCTGTGGCCGGCATCTTCAGAGGACAGGAGTTAGAACTCTGTCTGTGTTCTGGTGTAGTGTGCGGGATAGTTGAGTATTTGTAGCTGTGGGGTCAGCTTTTTGTCCTTTTCAGAAGATTGGGTGATTATGGTGATCAGGGTGTTTTTTGTTATGGTTGTACTCCCCCCTTATCAAAACAATACACAATACACAAAAAACACAACAATTCCTTTAATGTTCTCACCTAGGCAGGTAGGATATTTTAACTTCCCAGAGTCCTGTTTTGTAGTAGAATTCCCACAGAATTCAACCTACAAGGTATGCATTTTGCAAGGTGGTCACTTGAACAGCTGTAAACAATGTTTCCAAATTTCAGGCAGATTATGTACAGATTTTTTTAAAACTGGCCAATTTTTTTTTTAAGCTGGAAATAAAACTGTCCTAAAAATCTGCTGCATTTTGCCATTGGGGGTACTTTTTCCCCCCAAGCCAATGGGAAGTGATGAGACAATTCAGTCCTATGCCACGATTTTGCAAAGTATGGCGCCAAAAAGCAGAACTCACAGATTCTGGTTGTCAGTAGGCTGGCCATACTTGGAGGTAGGAAAAAACGAACATTTTTAGCAGACTTATGAAATACAAGACCCACCAGTTCTGATTCCAAAACGAACCTCATTCTCAACCTTTCTACTGACTCTCAATAAAAAAGAAGTCCAATGGGGTTAGAAATTATTCCAGAAATCACTCAGTGCAAGCTTTCTGGCTACCTAGATAAAGATTAAGGCAGCATAACTCAGCAATTATAATCAACCAGTGCATTTACCTTGCGAGCTTGCTCCTCAGCCCGTTCCTTTTTTATCTTTTCTAATTCAGCTAAAAGAGCAGCGGTATCATCATCACTCTCCTCTTCATAGTCTTCATCGTCATCCTCCTCCTATAGAGACAAGAAAGGCATTAGTAAATGCTTCTATCCATTTCTACCCAATATGGCTACATTTAGGCAGAACTTTATGTATGATGCCGTGTATAATGGTACTGCCTCACGATATAATTTATCAGACGATTCTTGGTACATGAATACTTTGCAGAAAATCAGACGTCCCCACATATCCAGCATACCATTCAGCTCTTATGTGTGTGGAAATTCTGTGTCTGTGGTTTTTTTAAAAAAATAGATACCAACATTCTAAAACTGATCATTCTTCACAACTGGTTTTGGTATGAGAAAGCTCCTGTATCATGCAATCCTCCAAATGAATTATTACCACTTTAATTTTAAGAAAAACCACTTGCCTTACCTGGGTAAAAGTATTCAAATACATTATCACTTATTTTGGTGCTCAAGCAAATACATCTGCCTGATGGAAACCTTCACAACTGACAGTGAAAGTCTCGTTTCTTTTGAGAATGTGTCTCATTCGTTGGTCTCAGTCCCATGAAAGGAAAGATCCCACAGTTCTGGGGCAGAGCACGTGCTTGGCATGCAAAGTGTCACAAAGTTAAACCTCTGGAATCTCCAGATCAAAAACGATCAAACAATGGGTGATCGGAAAGACCCCTGAATCTTATTGTGGGGAGGTTATTGTTTCTGACTAAATTAATCTGGATCAAGGGTGGGGAATGTGTGGCCCTCCAGGTATTATTTAGACCTCACTTCATCTGCCCCATCCAGCACAGCCAACACAAAAGGAACAGCAGTTCAGCAATACCATTTGGAGGGATGCAAAACACTGCTCAGCCCTGATCTAGATCAGATGGCAGCCTTATCTATACAAGTCGTCTTTTTCATTCCCCAGCGAGCAAGATTACATACATCGGTCAGTGGATCGTCAGCATCCAGGTTAGCTGCAGGGATCTGATCTAGACGGGGTTTCTTGGACACCGACGAAGATGTGGTGTGCTCTGGAGGAGAAACAGAGAAAAAGTTGAAAGAACTTGGAGTACTAAGCGACAGTGGGGGAAAAGGGACTACAAGAGTCACCTAAACTGAATGTACAGGAAAACTGACTGTAAAAAAAAGTTAGCAGTTCATTAAAAATTTTACTAATTTGCAAACAGAGGATGTGTATCGATCAACAGCCTGGAATTACACTGGGCAAAGAAACTAACTCTCTTGCAGTTGGTAAAAATCTCTGTGTCTGGTTGGCCACAGACAGCTGTTTATGTGCCACAGGTATAGGGTGGGTATACAGAATCAAACTCTTTCTGGACCTGCCCAAGCGTCTTATGTTTACTCAGAAGGAGGAATGATGGCCCCTTGCTTGCTCTCATGTGAGCATCAGCCTAGTTTCAAAAGCCTTTTGCAGGTGAACCTTTCAGGTCTTGGCTCTCCATGTGAGAAGGAAAAGGGAGAAGGCAAAAGGAGCAGAGAGTGAAAGGGAATGGGTTTGCCTACTTCCAGCTATGCCCCCTCCATTCCTGGCTTCAGCTCCATGCATTGCTGGCAGGTTACCCTTTCAGGACAATAGTACAAATTTACTTATTTACAGAATTTGAAAAAGTTTTACCCTGCCTTTCTCCTTTAAAAGGACTCAAGGCAGTTTAAATCATTAAAGGACAACATTTAAAAGTTAAAAAGAGTAAGTGTACAAATATTAAAAACCTTTAACTGTTCAAAGGCACTTCTGGCCAGTGCTGAAACCTGGACATCCAGGCTTAGAGACGAACCCAGGAGCACACCAAGTGACACACCACTGTTTTCAGAGGGAGTGTAACCCTCATCCAGCACAGGCTGCATCCCTGCTCTACTTTTTGACTGATCAGGAGCACCTCTGTCTTGTCTCGATTACGTTTCCAAGTACTGTATTCACCCTCTTCCAGTCCATTACAGACACTGATCTAGAGCCGAAACATCTTCCTCAGATTTAGATGGCATGGAGAGATAAGAGTTGGGGGTCATCTGCATCCTGGTGACACTGAACTCCAAAAACTCTGGACCATCTATTGGCAAGAAAACGGTTGTCCAATCTATGCTAGGGAAATACAGCAACCCTTGACTCTTCCATTTTTGAAAAAAAAATAATAATTAAATTATGTGGACTGTAACATCCCTTCCTCCTCTTGCCACTGTTTCAAAACAAGCTTCCCCCAACAACCTTTGCTGCCAACACATCCTCTGCCATGTTCACCACTCTGTGGCACTAATTACTGCACCCTTCATCTTCTTGCGGGCACATCTACAATGCAGCCCACTAGCACTACGAGCTTCTTCTGCTCATCTCTTTCACTCTAAGCTTTAGAGAAGCTTCTGCCCTCGTAACAGTCACTTTTATTGACATTTTACACATTCTCCTCCCACTTCCTTGAATATTCCTGGGCTGTATTCAACATACCACCTATCCTTGAGCGGTCCTCAAGCTATGATCCCCGCCCAGCCCTGAGAAAGGAACCACAAGGAATAAAAAGGTTCAGTGAACAGGTAAAAACATAATATAAGAACAGTGTTTCATCTTGTGTTCTTCGATACACAACCATAAGCTTTAACTTTTCTTCTTTATAATTTATACAATTTTGATTCTTTGGAGATACCTGCTTTAAGAAAAGACATTCACATCTTCTTCTGAAAAGAGTTGGGGGTCATCTGCATCCTGGTGACACTGAACTCCAAAAACTCTGGACCATCTATTGGCAAGAAAACGGTTGTCCAATCTATGCTAGGGAAATATAGCAACCCTTGACTCTTCCATTTTTTAAAAAAAATAATAATTAAATTATGTGGACTGTAACATCCCTTCCTCCTCTTGCCACTGTTTCAAAACAAGCTTCCCCCAACAACCTTTGCTGCCAACACATCCTCTGCCATGTTCACCACTCTGTGGCACTAATTACTGCACCCTTCATCTTCTTGCGGGCACATCTACAATGCAGCCCACTAGCACTACGAGCTTCTTCTGCTCATCTCTTTCACTCTAAGCTTTAGAGAAGCTTCTGCCCTCGTAACAGTCACTTTTATTGACATTTTACACATTCTCCTCCCACTTCCTTGAATATTCCTGGGCTGTATTCAACATACCACCTATCCTTGAGCGGTCCTCAAGCTATGATCCCCGCCCAGCCCTGAGAAAGGAACCACAAGGAATAAAAAGGTTCAGTGAACAGGTAAAAACATAATATAAGAACAGTGTTTCATCTTGTGTTCTTCGATACACAACCATAAGCTTTAACTTTTCTTCTTTATAATTTATACAATTTTGATTCTTTGGAGATACCTGCTTTAAGAAAAGACATTCACATCTTCTTCTGAAAACAGAATACACTCATTGGCTGAAATCCTGTTGTCTTGTCTAGTAAGTCACAGTAGAGCATAGGTTCCCAAACTTTTCTGCCCCATAGACCACTTGCCGACTTATTTGTTTTCTGTAGACCCCTTGCCTACCTATGTGTGTGCCCGTATAGCTCAGTAATGAGAAATGACAAAATGTCATTGGTCCCATTTACAACACACCGACATTTACCATAAAATTTTACCAATAATTTTACAAACTTACACATGAACGTAGCACACCACAATACAAATAATACACAGTACCTATTTAAATATTATGAAATATTATGTACACAGAATGCACCACAATACAGATAATACACATTTAAATAATATTATGAAATATTGTGTACACAGAATCTGTGTCTGGTGTAATTACAGATCGCCTAAATATTTATTATGATCTGCCTAATGGGATCTGCTCACGTAGACCCCCATTTACATCTCGTGCACCCTCAATTTTTTTCCTCTCTGACGTGGACCCCCTGCAAGTCGAAATCGACCTCTGGGGGTCCATATAGACCACTTTGGGAACCTATGCAATAGAGTATGCCCATTGAATCAGTGGGGATTTGGCAGTCAACTTCTCTGTAAGTTTCACTGATCCAAAAGGGCCTGTTCTAATTACAAATCTGCCTTGACCCCACAGACCTCGTGCTGGTCTATCTCTGTTCTTCTCTCTTGCAACCACTCTCTCCCTCTCTTCCAGTTCCCTCCTGAAGTCACGGGTGCGCACCTCCTCGGGGGCATCCTGAGTGGTCTGTCTAAAAGGAGAAGGGAAAAATTATTCTCTCAGAGCTGCTGTCATATAGTAGAAGAACTTATAGTAGAGACAAGCTGACGTTGAGATTTTCTCACTCCAGCCAACCAAACTCCGGAGGCAAGAACTGTGATCAGAATCCATTAATAAATATTAGGAAATCTATTATTATTTCAGTCATATCTCACTATTTCACATTGTTGACACGGACTACGTAGATGGTTATTGACAAGCCTGGGGAAACCCATTCCTTCCTGCAGGCAAAATATATATTAGTTTCAGAACCAATTCCCCTCCCTACAAATTGCTAATTGTTCCTTACCTGTATTTGATTTTAGTATGTGAAGGAAGATCTCTACTGGAATATTGTTTGGAGAGCTGGCTTAAGTCACCTTCTCCTTTTCCTCTCCCTCCCCTTGCCGGTTCAAATGTTGGTCTAGCTGCAGTAGTCATCTTAAATAGTGTGGGATCAAATGTGCATCATAGATAGAGATTAAAGCCTATCAAAATAAGGGACAAAAAACTTTAAACACGAAGAACAAGGCACTGTAATGAAAAACACAAAACTCTGTGCAGCTGCAAGCCAATGCTATGGAGATTTACTACTAGTTACATTATATTAAAGACACTTTCAGCTCCAAAGAAATATACATAGAATTGTAATCTTGATGAGACTTAACATTCTCTTTCAGCTTTTACATTTTACAAAATGCACATGGTCGTGTACAAAATATACAAAAAACCCCCAGAAGTTACTTTATTCTTTCTAGTGTATAGAGATTTAAAAGGTAACAAACAAACACCACACACACTTTCATTATACTCTCAGTTAACTTTTGAGTTCAGCAATGAGAAGTTGGGCTCTCCAGAAGGTTACTACAATGTCATGACAACCAAGACACTCTTCTATCAAACGCCATAGCAGACCTGTAAACTGATAATGTATATTTGTCTCCAGTATCTCCCTAATGACCTTGAACTAGTCATTCTCTTTCATCTTAACTTACCAAATGCTGCTGTTTCAAGAATAAATTGGAACAGTCATCTTTGCACAGTGGATGAAGTGGTACCTGCCTACCCTGTTTACCCGAAAATAAGACAGTGTCTTATATTAATTTTTGCTCCAAAACACACATTAGGGCTTATTTTCAGGGGATGTTTTTTTTTTTTTCATGTACAACAATCTACATTTATTCAAACACTGTACAGGCATGTCATCTTCTTCCGGTTACTGCACAAAGGTGGATGGCGGGGTTTCACTTCACTGGGGCTTATTTTGGGGGTAGGGCTTATATTATGAGCATCCTGAAAATTCATACTAGGGCTTATTTTCAGGTTAGGTCTTATTTCCGGGGAAACAGGGTACAAAAGCACATTACTGTAAACTAATATTTGTTCCTACGGGCTTGTAATATTATTCTTCATATCTCCAAAACCGAAATCACAGCAAGCAAATAAAATCAACCAGGCTTCTTCCTTTAAATACGCAAAGTACCTTGCGATTGAAATAGCATCTTAAGCATTCATAATAATAATTAATAAACAATGCTGAATTCTAAACCACAGTTACAGCCATTTTTGCAGATGATGAGCTGAGGCAGAGGGATTTTCCTACACCTCTCAGAGCAGCTCAAAAGATACAACTTTCAACTGGGCCTTTATTGACAAAATCCATACTTAATGCTCAAGATGATCTGTTGCTCTATTTACTTCTAAGCATCAGAGTTCTGAATAAGCCTTCTCATTATGTCTCATCATTAATTTAAAAAACAAACAAAAATGATTTGTCTAGCAGACAAAGGCATTTATTTACATCTCTATTTTTGTTAACAAAGCAACAAGAAATACAACTGTAACTGTCCCTCCATTTAAACAATTTGAGAGCATGCCACTAGAACCACATATTTTAAAACAGAAGCAGCTTTTTAAATACCAGGTCTTATGAAATGAGACAATTAAACGAGCTCCAATAGTGGCCACGAGGCTGATTGGGTGATGAACGGCCCTCGGTTGAAACTCCATCTGAACGGGCTCCCTGAATTTAGGCAAGCAAGTCGCCCCGTCCCCGCCTTCCTGGGCACCACGTCCCGTGACCTGGGTCTACCTCAAAGGGCTGTTGTGAGAGTCACTCGCCAAGGCAAGGGAGACACTGGCGAGAGCTCTCGGTCACCCTTACCTATTTTCTTTATTTTCACGGGATACAGAGAAACGGGCTCTACATAATGGTCTGATCCGACCATCATCCTTCCTGGCACTATCCCATTTATCTCAACGGACCCGACCCTGTTCTTTCAGATTTAGCCACGGGTCGGGAGTTCAAATCCCCGCTGCCCCTCCTGGACGGGGGACTGGACTCCATAGGGCCCGCTGCCCTATATATACGTATCAATACTCCCTCACGGACCCACCTTTCCGTTCTCTTCGGCGCCGCACCGCTAGGCCCGTCCCCCTATTGCGCTTCCATATTCCCAGCACTCACTACCCCAGAACCATAGAGGCCCCCATAACCAACGGGCTGAGAAGGAAAGAGGGGCACACTCCCGAAGCTTCCGGGAAGCGTTGGGCTTTTGGGCCGCTCCGGGCTATCCATCTCTATCGTAAAAGCTCTCTTTCGCATTGGTCGATAATGAGGCGGTTTGGGGTCAAACAGGAAAAGAGGGACGGCCGTGGGTGACGTAGCCTTGTGGACCACAACTCCCAGAATGCCTCAGCAAAGCCGATATTCCCGTAGTCCTGGACCAAGGAAGCTGCGGCTTCTGGGAATTGGAGTCCAAAATAACTGTCCTACCGAAGAATGTGTCGCACCCTGCTAATGAATCGGAGTCCTTAAACCAGTGCTTCTCAAACTTGGGTCCTTGGATGTTCTTGGACTGCAACTCCCAGAAATCCTGGCCAGCACAGCAAGTGGTAAGGGCTTCTGGGAATTGTAGTCTGAGGACATCAGTTTAAGAACTACTGCTGTACATCAGTAGTTCCCAACTGTGAGTCACCCTGGTGTTCTTCAACTGCAACTCCCAGAAACCCCAGCTAGGACAGCTGGTGGTGAAGACTTCTGGGAATTTCTGTTCCTCTGAAGATGCTGGCCACAGAACATGCCCAAAAAGCGCGAAAAACCCACAACAACCATTTCTGGGAATTGTTGTTGTTTAGTGTTAAGTCGTGTTGGACTCTTTGTGACCCCATGGACCAGAGCACGCCAGGCCGTTGCTTTGCCTTCCCACTCAGTAATGATGATAGGTGACCTGCGCTGAGTAAAGTTCTGGTTGTTACAATAAACAGTGTTATAAACCCAGAGCGTGTGCAGAAAACAAAAAGGTCAATATGGTTATGGGCCTCGAAACTCTCTCTCCCCATATCAAGGCTTTTTTTTAAGGCCAGTTAGGGGAACATGATCATTATGGACTATCAAGGTGCTTTCTGTTTTTTTGTGACCAGTGTAAGTGAATATCGTAGAGTGATGGACTCAGGAGACCTGGATTCAAATCCTTTCTTGGCCATGGAAATTTACTGAACAATGGCACTAGTCAAATTGCTCCATAAGCATCTCACCTACCTTGCAAGCTCTCCTAGGGACACTATTAAGTCGATGGGACTTGGTCTTGTTAGCAGCCTTGCTTGGCTCTTGTGGAAAGCCCAGATGTGATACATTTGTAGAAAATCAAATGCAGCCTGGGAAAAGTGGATAAATTGTTTCTCTTTCTCTGACATACTTGCCGGATATTCAGTGGAATTGAAGGTTAGTCGAGTCTAAAGATGATACAGTTTGTTTTTCTATAAGGGATCAGAAATGCTGCTATTAGTTCACACAACTCAAAATGCAGATTATACTGCTCTCAGAGTTTGAGAGTTGAGATCAGAGTTCTAAAAACACAGTCCCTGCTAATGTAAGGGAAGATGTCATCACGGGGTTGTCAAGCGGGAACACTAGACTTATGGTATTTAGTGGTGCAGCTACCCTACCTTCAACTTTTAGAGTTATGCAAGGAAGTGTTACAGAAAACTGGAAGGGTGCACTATTCAGTTAGTCACTTAACCACAAGAGGTCTTCAGAGAGTTACAAGTTAACATGTTAGCCTCACTGGAATGCTGTGAAGTGATAAAAGTATGTTGTTACATTTATCTAGGCCAGTTCTGTTGTCTCAAGCAGACAGATTTGTACAGCCCACATACTAAAAATGGTAAAGAAAGTGTTATAAAGCAAAGAGTGCCCTATGGGGAGCCATCGGCAATTGTCTCCCTCAGTGCATCTCTGCACATATTGACAAGACATGACAATTTAGAGGTGTACGGTGCTGTTTAAAGCAGTGTGTGCTAGATGTCTAGTTTTGGCCATTGTTTTTAGAGCTTATGAAAGTGGAAAGCTAACAAAGTTTAGATGGTCAGAGTTCCCCATCCCTACTTTGCAGTGAAGCTATCATCTCCTTAAAAAATTCGTACCTTCCTGTGCATGTTTATTCAAAAGTAGTTGTGCTGAATTCAATGCTCCAGGTAGTGTGAAGAAGATGGCAGTCTGATCTTGTGTAAATTTACCTGTGCTCAACAGTACTTGCTCCAAAATAAGAACAGGTAAAATTGCAGCCATTATAGGGAATTGTATATGAATTGACCCATTGTGGATAAACTGATTCCACAGAGGAATAAGATATATTTTGCTAATGTCTCAGCAGGAAGGCATGTATCCTTTGCAAGAGAATGGAGAATACGCTTCATGATTTTCATTAGTGCATGTACTATTTTAAAAAAAACAGTGGTCCCAGATTTCTTAGAGACAGATTCTTGATTGAATGTAATCAATAAATCAATCAACAAAACTATGTACTGTCTACTTGGAGATGCACAGTGATTCAAAGCAGGTGTCTCTGCTATTTGAAGTATGGATCAGCCTTGGGAGTGAAATAAATAAATAAAAGTTATGTCAGTTTGCATGTAGTCAGTGCTGAATATTCTCCATTGTTATCTGTGCCCTCAATCTTGAGCAGAAAGTATTGCGTGAGAAATGTGTAGATATATTTCACAACATTGTTTCTGCTTTTTGCAACATTAGCCAGTGTACTGTACATGTGTTTATCTGTTTTGTTAACATTGTATCTTTTCCAAGCAGGGGTAATACAGCAGTTGGGATAAAATCAGGGGTGAAAATAAGCTGCTCACCTGGCTCTTAGTGTATAACATCTCAAAGTAGTTCAGGACAATATTTGTTACAAGACCTTGTGTGTATAAAAAAATGTATCCACTGAGATTTTTCCTTTATTTCTCAATGGCTTATTTAGTTGGGATGAAGCATGGTGAATACAGGGAATTAAGTTATTTGTACAACCCTGAACAATCATACAAAGCAGATATCTAAGCTTTATATCTACAGCAAACAAAACAAAGCCATCAGAAAAAATAATAATAACAGTGCTGCCCATGGCAGCAGCATGATCTCCAGAGGGTACAGAGCATCCAAAAAAGGGTACAGGAATTTGGTGAACCAGGTGCAAACCCCTCCCCCCCCACATTGCAGTACAGTATGTTGGCATTGTTATATTCCCTCCCCCCATTTATTTGGAAATTCATGTCAATTTAAAATGAGAAGCCCTGCTGATTTTGTGGGGTTCCTCTTCCATCACAACTCATCTCATGTTGCAGACACTGCTGGCCACCTGGATTCCATTGTGAGGACCATCCTGGTATGGTTAATCCCTGGGGCTGTTCTAGGGCTAGCAATTTTCTCTCACCCTGACTGACTCATAGCATTGCCATGAGGTTCAAGTGGGAAGGAGGACATCCATCTGGACTTCACTAGAAGGACCATTGAGGGAAGAATAGGGTGGAAGAAAGCTGTGTTTTTCCAGCTCAGTCCCTGCTAATGCCTACATCTGGATCCAGCCCATTCAGCATCATGTTCCCACAATGGGCCAGCTGGCAGATCTTGGGAAGCTGCCAAATGGTGCATGAAAGTAGCAATATCTTTGTTCTCATCATCTGGTATTTAGATGTCTCTATATAGGCTGAAATTATGTTGGTTAGCATAGTCAGTAACACTAGAGTAGGCCCACTGAATTAGTGGGAATTTGGTGACTCAGCGCCTCTGTAAACACCATTGATTCAAATGGGCCTACTCTAATGGAGACTTCTCTCTTCTCAGCATTGTAGGGAAACTGTTTGCCTGTGTTGTGCTGAAGAGGCTCCAGGTGCTTGCAGACAGAGTCTATCTAGAATCACAGTGTGGAGTTTGAGCTCATGAATCCACCATCAACATGGTATTTTCTATCAGAGGGTTGAAGGAAAAATGTAGGGAACAATGACAGCCCCTCTTTGTGGCCTTCATAGATCTCACAAAGGCCTTTGATTTGATTAGCAGAAATGGCCTTTTTAAAATACTTCCCAAGACTGGATGTCCACCTCGGCTCCTTAACACCATCAGGTCCTTGCATAAGGAAATGAAGGGCACTGTAGTTTCTGATGGCTCAGCATCAGATTCCTTTGACATTCAAAGTGGAGTGAAACAGGGCTGTGTCCTCATGTCACTCTGTTTGGGATCTTTTGCTGTCATGCTGAAGCACGCTTTTGGAACTGCAACAGAAGGTGTCTATCTCTGGACTAGATTAGATGGAAAGCTCTTTAATCTCTCTAGATTGAGAGCGAAGACCAAGTCCAGCTGAAATGCATGCAAGACTTCCTTTTCACTGATGATACAGCCATTGTTGCCCACTCTGTCAAAAACCCCCAAAACACATGAATCGTTTTAGCAAGGCCTGCCAAGACTTTGAATTAACAATCAGCCTGAAGAAAACACAAGTCATGGGCCAGGGCGTGGACTCACCTCCTTCTATTACCATCTCCACACAAGAATTGGAGGTTGTTCATGACTTTGTGTACCTTGGCTCAACCATCTCTGACACCCTGTCCCTGGATGTCGAGCTGGATAAATGCATTGGCAAAGCAACTATCATGTTCTCTAGACTCACAAAGAGAATATGGCTTAATAAGGAGCTGACGGCATATACTAAGTTGGAGATCTATAGAGCCTGTGTCCTGAGCACACTCCTGTACTGCAGTGAGTCCTGGACCCTTCGTGCATGGCAGTAGAGGAAGCTGAACACCTTCCATATGTGTTGTCTCTGACACATTTTTGACATTGTCTGGCAGGACAATTTTCCAAATAGTGTAGTCCTGAAATGAAATGGAACTGTTAGCATGTATACATTACTAAAACAGTGATCTACATTGGCTTGGGCATGTCGTGAGAATGGCTGATGGTTGGATTCCAAAAGATATCCTTTATGGAGACTTAGTGCAGGGAGAGCGCCCCAGAGGGAGATCACAGCTGTGATACGAGGTGATCTGCAAGTGGGATCTGAAGGCCTTAGGAATGGACCTCAACAGATGGGAAACCCTGAAGAGACCCTTGTCCAGCAGGCCAAGGAAAAGAGGCAGTCCCAAAACCAGCAAAATCAGGGAGCTGGACAGGGGA